TTTCATACCATCATTTCATCAAGAGCAATCGGAGATCAATCGAAAGCTCTAACATTTTGAGAAAACCCCGAAGGAAATCCCACATTTCATTTCATTTGAGAAAACCCGAAGGAGATCCCACATTTCATTTCATTGCATTGGGACCCGTAAGTCAATTAGCATTTCATGAAATAATTTACGTAAAAGAAATTATAATATTGCAAGAACATAGTATCCTACCTCAAACGAATTTTTGAAAGAGAAAGTGTTGAACGTTCCAAATCTTTTTCCAAATCTCTATGTAATATGAAGAATTGCTTTCTGTCTAAAAAATGTGTGTTCATAATATGATTTTGCAGGGTATAAATAGGGCAGCAATCCTATGGTGAGTGGACGAAAAACCAAAACTTGCATGCAATAGGATTATAGGCTTTAGGCATAATTATATCAATTTATGCTTAATTTAATCATCATCTCCATTCCCAATGGTGAAAACGTGGAAACTACCCCTATAATTTCCTAGATTTAAGGCAAGGATTTATATTAAAATATTTGTGATTGCCAACTACTCAATCAAAAGTCTCAATTATAAAATTAATTGGTACATGCACAAAAATCAAGCCAATCTACCTTTATCAACATTTACCTCTACCGGCACGTGTTAGACTATTCTGGTCAAATCCCAAAATCAAAGCAATTGGCTTCCTTTCCCAATAATTACACCCACGTGTTGCCTCCAAATAAAATTTAACTAATAACTTACCATCAATATGCTACACGCGTTATTCGACCCAATTAAATAAAATTTTAAGATGATAACTTTCGATAACTTGGGCCTTGCATATCCGAATTAACTTTTCTCAAGTCTAATATACATGATTAAATATGGGCTATCCGATAAGCCCAATAATGGTATACTTATCATTACTCTATCAATATTTAAATATTTGGCCCAATAGAATATAATTCAAAATATCTATATACACTTTAGTCCTTCAACTTTCAAAATATAAAAGGTAGTAGATAGAATAAATAATTTTATTTTGTAAAATTTTCGGAGTGTTACAATCTCACCCCCTTAAAATAATTTCGTCCTCGAAATTTTCTTACCTAGGTGAAAAGACCTAGTCAACGATTGGTGTTAAGCGTATTGTCTAATGGGGTAGTAACTTTTAGGACTCTAACGGCTCGCTCACAACCAGTA